TGTTAGAGTTTGTAATCTAAACGGCTATACAGATCTCGATAAAATTTGGTATGGACATAGAGGATAGTCTGGAATAACACATAGGTAACTCACTTTTATTTTTTTTTTGCCACGCGAACTGAGTCGCGGGAGAGCATAGACAGTTTGACTCATTCCTTGCAGTTAATTAAAAAAAATAGACGAGTGCATACTGTTCTTTGTAAGCTATTCATTATTTCGCGTACAGCTGAATCATTAAATTAATTAAAGTAAGCTACTAAAGCAAATACATAATGAACATCGGACAAATGATAAGAGGTCACGCGACGATCAGCCGTTAACAACGCGACGCGAGCGCCCCCGGGACGCCGATGTTACAAATGTTATGTTTTTTCCTTTTATTCTTCGAAATAATTAATTGAAATGTTAAATTGCTACTAATTAGTCTAAATAACATGAAATTAAACGTCGAAAACTTAACTGTCTATTTAGGAATAATTATCCGCAGTATAACTACATTTTTCACATTTTAAAGCAATAAATCGCGCCAATTCCTTAATTCAAAGTAACCTATCTATTTTTCCATGAAAGGACCTAATTGTTAGATTGTCTTTTTACCAATATTAGAGACTATATACAGTACAACAATAACGAAGACGCTACTTACGGAACCCGAACTAAATATTTCTTAAACTATACGCGCCTTTTGTTTGCAAACTTCACCCCAAAAATGTTCTTTATATACGAGTAAAAATATGTAATTCGAAGTATTGTCTTGCAATAGTGACTTGTCTAAACTTGGCCGTCCCAAATACCAGTATGCTTATGAGCAACGCCATAACACGGCAGAGCGTGCCTTGAACATGTTGCGGTGTTATTTGATGTTAAAATATACAATATACGCGTACTTTCTTTTACGGAGCTAATTAATTTAATGTTTTATAATTAATAATAACTAAATTACTATTGTTTAAATTTATTTACATTCTGAGAAATATGGTTGAAAAACACATTGATGTAGGGTTTTTTTTGTCTTCTTTTTTTTAGGTAAGTTACTGCCGCTGCAATCGAAGCAGTATATTGTCTTTTTTCTCTATAATAATATTACAAAGAGGAAAGATTTGAATTTTTGTATTTTTGTATGTATTGAAATAACTGAAAAAACACTGGGCCGTTTTTAAAAAAAGTGTATTTTTTATTATTGTTTTAATTTCACGCGGGCGAAGTCGCGAGCAACAGCTAGTTAATATTAATTTAGTAGGTTGTTAAGTTAATTTTCAAATAACATGTACATTTTAACAATTCATGAATAATTTCCAAGAAAACACCTTGAACTTTATCTTTTTTATTACTTTTGGTTACCGTTAATCGCAATCGGGTTAATATGCTATCGATAAAAACCACTCACATCGTTTATCTTAATCGGAAAGAGATAGCACGTCCATTTCCTATTTCACATCTCTGTCTATCCGCACGTACATGACTGTGAATATTTTTACTAAAGACGAGATTCTAGAATTGAACCGAAAAATCGATATTTGATATACTCGACCGTAGTCTATTTCCAATGAGATTTCATCTTTTACAAAGAACAAGCAGTGTTCCTTTCAAAATTACTTGAAATTATAACCTACAAAAGTTTTTACATATTAAAGAGGGGTGAAATTCGGTGCTATTTGGAAATATTTCTAGTAAAAAACATAGTCCAGGGAGCAAATTATTAATTCCTTAATTTAAAATAAACATTGTCTATTTTATTATTTAACATACAAGCAACTTCTCTCTGATAAAATACACGTTTCCGACGCTTGGTTGTACGTAGGATCGTGTCTCGGGATATAAATGTTTTATTATTGTGTAATATTGATATTCACCCGACCAACGACGGGAACTTACTACGTACTAGATGTACGTCGTCTTACAATATGGAGACATTTCTGCATAGCTTCAATTTTAGAAAGAGAACTACGGCTTTCGTTTATCGTAACGTAATAACGCCTTATATTATCAAATTCTCTAGAATTACCATACTCTTTATATTATAAAGGAGTTAGGGCAAGTCCCACCAAATTTTGAATTGTCTTATAACAATCTAACGTGTAAAATATGCGATGGAAATATCGGATTTTGTTCCCTTATTTTACAGTGACGTATTTTTTAAGCTATCTGTGCCTCTAGCCAGTGGTGGGACAGGCCCTTAGTCTTTTATTTCTTATTATCCGAGAGCCATTGAGGTGTATCGTATCATACTTGGATAGGCAGTGATCTGTACAGTGTGGACTAAGCCTTTTAAACTCTACACATGCGCTACTCGGTGGCACGTAACCAGTCTTGTCGCATTAACATCACACGCGGATGATTCGATAAAGAACTTGAAATTTACTACGACTTTTTTATAGTCTGTGTTGTGTATTTTCTACATTATTAACACGGATATTTTACGACTAAGATGTACCCACCAGTAATAAAAAATGACAAAATAAACTCCCTTTTTAAGTTAACATTTGTTAACGTTTTGTTATGCCAAACCGGCAGACGTGTACTTTGTTAATCGCGTTTTTTTAAACAAATGACTGCGCTCGTACACTAAACAAAACATGTACCATTGTTTTAGTATTGTGGATCCTTTCCTTAACGTAAATACAATAGGTTAAAGTTATCGGTAGAATGTCCATGTCGTGTTATCACATTGGGCTTGTGACCATTGTCATTGCACAGATAAAGTAACTTTCCTTTTAACCAACATTCAGCCAGCGATAAGATAATGCACGGCTCATTGCAATGTAATGTTTTTAGAACCGATATTGTTGCAATAAGCTGTGAAAGTAAAATTTAGTTATTGATGTTTTATTTACTGTAAGAGCAAATAAAGTAATATCTATAACTTTTCGATTTTGGAGATATTTACGGCATAATCTAGTAACATTCACAGAAAGCGTCATTCGTAACATAATTTTCTATTATTTCTTCGTCATTAAGTTTCCTGAGTTAAAATTCGAATTTGCGTAAGATAATCCGAATCGTAAAAAAAATGCCGCAAGGGTGGATCTGGTACAATAAGCAGTTATCGTATAGGTCTGTCGTGTTAGTCGGACAGAGAGCGGTGCAGGAGCGCGGCGGTAGGGGAGAACGGAGGCTGCGCGATCGATACTCCCGCCGCCGCCGCCACCGCCGCGCGCCGACGAAAGCGAACGCACCGCCCGCGCCGCTCCGACCTCGCTGCCCTTCACCGAAGTGTCGACGAACCCTGCAGCCATCCCCCCGCCCTGCCTCCGCCCGCACTACCCCCGACAATCCCCCTAACCTCATCCCACACCGCGCACCACCTACCATCACCCGCACCCCACTACCCTCACGCTGCAGCCCTTCATATATTTCGAAGATGATCTTCGTGACCCGATTAGATATTTAAAACTTCATCATCACCTTTGTCTTGTCCCCTGGTGCTCTACCAAGTCCATAACGAAATGATTCATTTAATCCCTGATTCATATTCCAAGACGGTTAGGTTGATACACCGGACGAATAATTACGATGACTCATTGTTAGCAGAAATATTCTAATAAAATCATATAAGGGTATCATTTCAAGCCTAAATGATAGTAATTTAAAATCTAGTCGAATAATTACAATACAAACCGCGACAAAAGTTAATAAACAAAGATTTATCTTAAAACAACAACTGAAGACGCAACAAAAGATTTAACCTCTTATTTGTGATTATGAGTCATCATACGAAGATAAAAATGTTTGACTTCATTAAGTTGAATTCATCTGTCGTTATCACTGTATGTGATATTGAAATACGAGCACATGGCGCATCCAATCTTTGCGGGGAATCTAGCCAATGAACTTGAATGGCAGGCCTCCACTGCGCACGCTATAAATAGCCACCTAGCGATAAGTAGATTGAGCGTCGAGACTACAAGACATTGCACGTGATTTACTGTCTTCTATTGATTCCATCATTTTATACCTAATAATGATTTTATTTAAATGTTTGTGCTAACGATTTTTATAACATATCCATCGGGCATCAAATATCAGAGCGGATACTCTGAGGTTATTTTAAGCATCACGGCATTTGGGACGTTCGCTGGAAAACATCCACAGACTGCACTATTCTCGGACGCCCTACTGATGACACGACACACTTCATTAACACGTATTCAATTACATTGTTCCTATTTAATTGATCCATAATTCAACAACGTGTATTGTATTGAAAATCAAACTAGATTATTGAATGTTAGATGAAATTCACGGTCCCATGATTTTAAAACTTATCTCTAGAGCGATAAAAACGTGCAGCTAATTAGGCTTAGCTGTATCGCTTCAGTTGCAACTCGAGCAAATGAGGTTGCGGCTAAATTAATGTTTTCGTCTAATATAGAGTCTACATAACGGTCCTCGCGCATTGTTAACTAAACCATACAGTCTAGAGATGTGCGATTATGCACCATATAATTTTAATCGTGTTATTTTGCAAAGTTTATGGATCACATATTTTATTGTAAGTGGTGTAGATTAAAATTATGATCGTCCTAACGTGGAATTTTAAAATTTGCTGTTTGAATCGAATTCTAATAACAAAGTTCTAAGAGACAAAACGAAAAAACAAAGCATGTTAAAGCTGAGTAAAGCAAGCGTATTCGCGGCTGCGAGCTGCGATGCGGCCCCGGTATCGACCCTCCGCGGCCGACAGACAGGCGTGCCGCGTACACTTGACATTCCCGCTCCATTCCCTTACCCCTTAGCCAGGGGTAAGCGCACTCGACTCCTACAAGCGTCTAGAAATGCTTACACCAGCCACTATTTACAAAAAATCGATATCTAGCTGTTAAAGTATTCTTATTCATGTAGTTTTAGTGTATAAATTGTTAAGGATAAAATTATCTTTTTCATAACAAAAACAGGAAAACAGTAAATGAACCGATTTGTTTTAGTTAGAACTAAGCGGAAACTCCCTATTATACATCAAATGATTAATGAAGTTAATAATAATATTTGTTTGTCAATAGGCGATGAACATCCAGGACAGAAACAACGCAAAGGATTCTTCAGAAGCTTCTGGAAAAAATCTCGCCACTATTCCTTGGAGCATCCGTGACGAGACAACTCGAACTGTGGTATGACCATGAAGTCTCTTCCGTAGCCACTGCGAGTGGGGAAGGAACTACGTGACAAGCGCACGTAACTATTTATTAAGTATGTACACCACGCCGCGCGTTAAATAAGTCATTTCTGTTGTTTCGATCTAAATAATGTTATATTAATTCAATGATTTCACGCAAGAGAAATAACATTGGAGTTAGAAATAAAACGTTTGCCATAGGACATGGAAGCTGCCAGCACTGTTCGCACATTACAATACGCGACTTTTTACTTTGTCTTGTCTGTTGTATTCTTTACAGGCTCTGTTGAGTCAGTTGTATAGCGTTACTTAAGGTTATATAACAACGCATAATTTATTTGTAAGATGATAATAAGCATGAATTTTGTGCAATTTTAAAACTTTTCTTTCTTATAAATAGATGTAGAAATGTAGATAGATGACCATGTAGTAACTTATGTACATCCAAGGTTTTCTTTTTATTGGTATTTATAAGTAATTGTAATTGCAAATCAACCCCTATGTATTCGCAAAACTATTTATGCCGAGTTATTGAATCTACGCTTTATCTACACACAACTAATGTAAGATTAACTTTTAACTGAATCGTTGGATACTAATTACTTTGTACTGTACTGTACTGTACTGTGTTGTACTGTAGGGTTAGATCGTGCAAGATGGTCCTCGTGTGTTCCGTATGATGCATCTTGAAGAACCAAATCACTTGATAGGCAGTAGATGAGTCTTTACATTTTATACCGATCCTTGTATTCGAGTGTACTTAACTCTTATTACTGTAGATTTTGTCAAGGAAAATAAATTATGTTCATTAGCAATAAATATTGTTTCATTGATTTTCCCTGAGCCAGAGGTAAGTGTAAAAGGAAACGAAGTGATATAATACAAATCATTTTATTATAAGATAGACACAGTTCCCATCGCTTATCAGAAACAATGTACAAAGCTATAGTAGTAATATCAAATATAAACAATATGCACCCTTCGTTTACTGCAAGCCTTGTTTCAGGATACAGAGTAATTGAGCGCTTCTAGTTTCTGCTGTTAAAGAGATAGAATAGAACAGAATGCAAATGTTTATTATTCACTACACGAGAATATAAATGCTGCGTAATTAAAAAAGGAAGCATAGCGAAATGGCGGCATGGCGATGGCGCCACGCTCTCGAATACAATATCTTTGCATTTCTCACACGATGGTTCCAGTGGGACTAGAGATTTTCAATTAAAATCGTAATATTTTACTCGGGTTACAGTGTTTTTCATTTTGTAACAAGCCCTTACACAAATGCTTACTTGTAATTACATATATAATTATGTTGTTATCGTAACAGTAATTTCATTACGTGGTTATTACATTTCATCATCGAGCGTCTAAACGCGTACGCGCACGCGCCCGCGCAAATATATCCGATCTGCGAGCAACCTTCATTATACATTTACATTACATTAAACGCGAGATGACAACGATTATTATCAGATGGCTTGAAAAGAAATCCAAAAAAAATCTCTATACACCATGTCTGAGACCGCTGCGTAGCGGAATATATGTACCGGTCGGAAAAAAGCAAATTTTTTTTAATACAAATTGAAAGCACTACGCAGCAACAATTACTCCGGGGAAGCGGTGAGCGTATAAAAGAGTATCCAGAATCCGCAAAGTAATCGCGGCTGCGGCTGCGGCTGCGGCTGCCGCAGCGGCGGCGGCGCGCGGCCGTGCGGGCGAGGGCGAGGGCGAGGGCGCCGCACGCGTCGCCACAATTTCATCAATATCAAAACAAATGAACGGTCCTTATCACTTTTATAGAATATACAAAATGCAGTTACTTATTTCCCTGTGGAAAAAATATTATCTTATAGTATTCTTAGATCACGGCGCGCTTCGATCTGCGAACAAAATTTTTGACCGTTAATATACCGCTTTCTATCTTCTACATAAAATAGCATCAAGTGGCAAAATATTTTACCTCTAATAACCACAGGTAACTAAATAGTCTCCTAATTTCTCCACTACGGATGCAGCCTGCTGGGGTTGGATGGGGTCTTCATACAGTGAAATTACGACGGCTGCAACAAAACATATCGTTCAGACTATCTGAAAACCTTATCTCGCTAACACATCAATCGGGAGCAATAAGTCGAGATTACGGCCTCGGACACTGTACTACATAATATAAATGTCACTTCACTTTGATATTACTACATCAGTGTTTACATGAATCTACGATCGTCGAAGCCGTAATAGTGCGTGGGAAAGGACGCCTTATGGCACAGATGGCCGACTCCCTCTCGTAAGTGTAACTATTGATGCCAAGAAAGGGACAATCTATAACCATACTTTAAATACCTCTAGAGTATTGAGATTTAAATTCGTGTGAATATCGTTCTGTACAGGAAACATACGAAGCGCAAACACATGTTTTTCACTCAATTCTTATGGACTATATAAAACGTACGATTCCACACGTAGAAATATCACATAACATACTAAATGATTGACGAAAATGAGACATTTGTGTTTTTAGATATATAAAGAAAATGTGTATCTAAATACGTAAATAAAATAACTGATTTTAGTTTAGTGTTTTATTTATAACTAAATATTTTTATTTTATTTTAGGACAAACGCCACGCGGACTTAACTAAATAATTAAATAATTTAAAACATTTTAAAAACATTATCCAAATAAACTGTAAAAGCTGTTTAATTTTTAAATTCTTGACATGATTTTACGAAAGTCCTTCGCCTGATTTGATGTGACCTCTGACAGCACATCAACCCCTTTCCACTTGGGCAGAGTCCTTTGGGCGGCGTATCGATCCCAATAGCTCTGCCAAACCGCGCTCGCCATTCGGCAAACAGAACAGGTTTGCGCCGTTCAGACAACGGTACTTCGGACTTGATATACAGGTGGTTCCATACGAAAGCGGTAGAGCGCTTTTAAACAACTATTGTCTGTTTCAAATTATTGTATTTGTCTTAAATAAGTTTTCGTTTTGTATAAATATGAAAAATCAATAAATAATTTTGATAATTTAACTATTCTAATAGTATTTAAGTTGCAAAAAGACTACGTTTTACGATCCAATTAGAAAGAAGTGAAGTCCATTAGAATACTATATTGAAAAATAAACTGTGTTCTACAAATAAAAAACAACTATTGATCATACTTCGCTAATAAAATGATTTGTTAGTAGCTAATAAAGATTATAATAATCTAAGGATAATAAAAGATATAGCGTCAAATTGAAATCCGTAATCTCTGCTTACTCCTACCGCCTATTAGGACTATTGAAACATACATTTTACGAAGTAAACAAAAAAGCTAACACTAAAAGAAACAACTAACAGTCAACTAAGTACCTTGATTACCTTGAAATTAGTAATGGGAACAAAGGTTTTATATCCTTATCAGGGCAGGAGGCATAGACAAGGGGGGGCGGGGAGGGGGGAGGCGGGAGGCTATTGCGCACTCACCTTGCTGCGTCTTCATGCAGTGGACGCCGACCTTGCCTAGCTTGGCGCGTATGATGCGGTCTGTGCCACTGAGGTAGATGTACCGGCTGCCCGCTATCGTCACGCCGCCGCCCGTCAGCAGTGATTCATTCTCGAAACCCGCCACTATCTTTGCCACTTCATCTTTCGATATCTGTTAACAACCAAATATGTTAATACACAATTTATATAAATTAATCATTATTTCGACAGGAAAAATGTGAAAGGAACAAAATAACTATATTTGATGAAATTATAGACAGGATAAGTTTTATTTAGTATTACAGAAAATATGTGCCTGCATGTAATTAAATGTTACATGAGTAATTATGTAAAATATTAATATCACAATATCCCTACATTATATGCAGAATGATTCAGCAGCTACTGAAATCTCTGAATTTAACTATGAATAAAATAACATTGTTAACAATTAAACGTGTCATAGTGTCTACTACTGGTTCTCGGGGAATCATTCCAAAGTTGAAAGTTTTTTTTTTAATATAATATTGTAATTTCAACCCTATGAACTCATTAGTCATTCTCTCATTAGTAACGAAATCTTTTGTTATTCTATACAGTATAATGATAATTAAAATATAAAATATATTAAATAAGAAAATTAAAATAATATAATGAAAAAAAAAAAGTCAATAAGTTCTTAAACAAAATACTACAATACCCTTAACTTTGACAAGTTCAAATTGTATTTTCTGCACTTATGCTTGAGACAGTGCTATACAATAGTACAAAAAAAAAAATAAAAATGTAATATAGTAATCTAACATTATTTGAAGTATTTAATAACGTCAATGATTGCCAAAATCGGTCAGGTAAATGTTTTAATAAGTTTGTGTATCTTTTAATAAAGATTAACCACAAAGCCTTGTATGTTAGTTCAATGAATCAAAACTTTGCTACTAATGCTGTAAATAATAAAACATTAATATTATTAACCCAAAATACATTGAAGACATGCCAAAAAGAAAAATACATTTTTAATATTTCAGTAATGCAAAAGTTTCATCTCAATGTAGAGGACTACAAAATCAAAATCTGTCCAATCTTTTTACAAAAAATTTATAGTTACAACTATAGTAGTAGATTGTTAATAGATTGAAACAACGTAACTTCACATTTCTGCAAAAAAAAAGCTTTAGACACATGTAACATTACTTCAATCCGATGCATTCCACTCTGCAACACATGTCTGAAAACTTTTTAAACCAAAACAAAAAAGCAAACCTTTTTACACAATGTAACAGTAGAAAGTTATCAATCAACATGAAATGGAAGTACAAATTTTAATTTTAGCTGTTTGATTGCACAAGTCTACATTACCAGTAGATCCTTGCACATTTTGTATTGAAACCATCATAAAATCCTTCTGTACATCATTTCAGCAGAATGCTTCATGAATTTGCAATACCGTTTTAGAAGTTTTTTTTTTAATTCAACTATAATAGGATATTGCAGGGTTTTAGTCGATTAGAATTTTTTATGTGATGCAGATAAGAATGAAAACAGGGATACATCTATATAAATATGAACTGAAGTAAAAATCAATAAGTACAAAAAAAGGGCGGAATAATGGACAGGCATAAGGCATACATATTTACATGGTTTATTTGATTTATGTAAACCCTAACAATAAGCGGCGACGTGTAACCATAACCAAGACCGGCCGGCTTTTACAATAGATTTTATATGCCTTACAGAAATTGCTCAACATCATAATCTGTTTTTTATTAATCGTATGTAATAAATCATACAGAAAATCAGTATAGGTAGGGCAAAGATACCATAATCTCGTCGTTTTATTTGAATTAGCTATAACCACATGTCGCCATCTTGTCACTTGCCGGATTCGTCATCCATCCTTACAAAAAAATTATAGCAGTTGAAAACACTATTTAAGCACTCAAAACATATTATCACGTATTTGAAAAGACAAATCACTGACCACTTAAACTTAACAAAGCCATAAACTTACATCGAAGCCTTCCGACTTGGCCCAGACATTTCCATCGTGACCGGCAATCGCAGCCTTTGTTACACATCTGGATGCCAATAACTGTTTATCGACATAATCTTGCCAGCTCATTTTGAGTGAGTTCGTATGAAATAAAACTAAACTTGACTAAAACACGATGTAGTCTTCGCAACGAGCAAACGCTCCACACGAACAAAAAGCACTGCCGTTTCAAAATGGCAGCGTACTCATAGACACTACAGGAAGTGAAGTGCTACCAACTAAAAAAATATATAAGTTGCGTTCAACTTTAAAATCATAGACAAATGACGCACACGGAAAACCTTCGGAAAATTAGGAGACTTAAATTATTACACACGAGATGTCCTCCGTTTGTAATCTTTAATCTCTGTAATTTGTAATCTCCATACATAAAGAATTAACAAAGATTTGTAACCTACGGTATATTTATTTAAATAGCTCCTTAAGATTATCGATTTCCCTCTGTATTTAATCTTTCTATCCTATCGGTTCTATTTTAGTTTATCTCACAACTTTCAAAACATGGTAGAGCCTGCTCCTTTATTTTCTAGTTTACATATCTAAACACTATAATAGCAAAAAAGCATCCGACCACTTAATCACAATAACTTAAAAGTTAAATCCATGTTTTTTGTTAAGCTGTATTTTTAAACGATATGTTTTTTAATTCCTAATGAAATAAATAAGTTTCAAACATTTCAATAAGCAATTTTAGCTATTAATTATACATTAAATTAAATCAACCATTTTAACTACATTTAACAATTGCTTTTTAAAGTCGTGCTTTTGCCAATCTAGGTTCTGAAACTGAAGTATAAATTCTTTTCGTATGGTATCATTTTAGTGCCCTCCTTTTCCCACTTTAGCAATTTACTATTATTCATCTCTTTCTGTTTTTCAATTCTGCTTTGAAGTACGAATGCGAACTTCCGTCGTTTTATTTCCCATTTAATTCCATTCGTTAACATTCTTACGATATTGCAGCTTAAAAAATTTACTGTATTTCATAAATCATTTAAAAATATTTTGGAATATTTTTATAACAGTTAAAGGCTAAATTAGTGTGCATTAATATTGCCATAAAAATCCTTGGTTAAACTTAACTTGACCTTGCTAGTTCTTTTCCGTTCAGCTACCGCGATTGGAACATGTCTTATTCACCTGAAAGAAGGTAAGTCTAGTTTTTGTATTATACTAATGCTCTTTTTAATACGAGTATGATAAAAGATGTTAGACAAATAGTAACCTGTACATAACTTTTGCAAAATTGCTTATGTTCATTGTAAATAACCCATAAATTCATTCTCCACGGCCGACGATTTGCCAACATGGCGCTGGCAGGAGAACATATTAGTTATTCGGCTCAATGCACGTGTATTCCTGATGTAATTATGTATTTATAATGTTAGGTATTCTAATATCTTTCAAAACTGGCGTAAAAAATAATTTAATTCGTAATTTTTACGCTTTAAACGCCAAACAACAGTGAAATGCCATTTTGACAGTAGTGCGATTTTGATGGTTTTTGCACATTCATTATTTTATTACGCCATATCATAAAGTAATGTGTTATAGTAAGTAGATTTTTAGTAGATTATTTGTTATATTCTTCACAGATCAGAAGAGTGGCCGGAGGATTCGAAAAATGGCCAGTCAAAGGATAATTATGAGGGCTCCACCGGCGCCGAGCACGAAGCGCTGGATACAAACTGGCATCAAGTCGTGGAAAGCTTTGATGACATGAACTTGAAGGAAGAATTGCTTCGAGGGATTTATGCGTATGGTTTCGAAAAACCATCTGCCATCCAACAACGGGCTATTATGCCATGTATCGAAGGGCGTGATGTCATAGCTCAAGCCCAGTCCGGAACCGGGAAAACTGCTACTTTTTCCATTTCCATTTTGCAACAAATCGATACTAGTATTCGTGAATGCCAAGCGCTTATATTGGCGCCCACTAGGGAATTGGCTCAACAGATTCAGAAGGTTATTATTTAAATATCAAGTGATATGTAAAGTGAAGTTTTTGTGTATTTTGAAAGACAAAAAATTAAGTGTTATATTTTCTAGGTGGTTATTGCTCTTGGTGACCACTTGAATGCTAAATGCCATGCTTGCATTGGTGGCACCAATGTGCGTGAGGATATGCGCCAACTGGAAAGTGGAGTGCATGTCGTTGTTGGTACACCCGGCAGGGTGTATGATATGATTTCTCGTCGGGCATTACGTGCTAACACTATCAAGCTGTTTGTGCTCGATGAAGCTGATGAGATGTTATCTAGAGGGTGAGTATTATTATCTATGTAATTTACATGTTTCTTTTTGTATTTATTTTAAACATGTATTGTTTATAACAGGTTCAAAGATCAAATCCATGATGTATTCAAAATGTTGTCTGCCGATGTTCAGGTCATTTTGCTCTCTGCTACTATGCCTGATGATGTATTGGAAGTGTCCCGATGCTTCATGAGAGAGCCTGTTCGTATTCTTGTGCAGAAGGAAGAGGTAATGTAAAAACAATTTACTTGTAAATTGTTTATATTTACTATGTTCTATAAATGTGTTTAAAATTTGTAGTTCAATAATACTATCAAAGTATACTATTGCATGTAACAAAAATACCAAGAATGGTAAAACCAATCTATTTGTTTTAGATTATTAATTAGATAATTCAACATTTCATATTGTTTTTAACTTCCAACAGTTATTTGTTTATTTTAATTTGTGATAGTTTAAAATTAACTTTTTTCTATGTAACAGATAATTAAATTAAAAATCTATAATAACTTGATGTATTTAGTATGGTTTCCATAAGAAAACATTTCTATTGTGCAACTTGTGTATTGTATAAATAGTTCTAGATCATTCTTTCTATTATACAGTAAATTATATGAAACATATAGTGCATTGTTAGATACCATGTAATGGTGACTCAGATGAATCCAATGACATACTGCAGATAACAAATATTATATAATTAACTTATAAGCTTATAATAATATTGTAGAGCTTATCTTTTACGAAATCTACCAGTAAGTTGATGAGATTTTTTATGTCTAAGAACACAAGCTTCTTTTAAACCTTTTTTTAAGCATTGCATTCAATTGTTATAAAGCCTTTTGCACTTTATGTTAGCATTTTACTATGTAACTTTTTTGAATAAGCTGCATGTAACGCTTATGTATTTAAGCTACTCAGTGTTACTTATACATAATATTTAATTTGCTTATTTTCTTTTTATAGCTCACCTTGGAAGGTATTAAGCAGTTCTTTATCTCTATTGAGCTAGAGGAATGGAAATTGGAGACTCTGTGTGACTTGTATGACACCCTGTCTATTGCTCAGGCTGTCATTTTCTGCAACACTCGCCGCAAGGTAAACTTTATTATTTTACTGTTTTGTGCCATTGTCAATAATTACTTTTATTTAATTTTTATACTATAAAAATCAGGATATTTGGCTTTGAGAACTGATTCAGCCTTTTTTAATTAAATCTTATTTTTCCATTACATATTTTTGATTTTTTTTTATGTGTCTACTTATAGCTTTTTATTAATGATCTAACTACTAAAAAGTAAATCAATTACTTATTACTTAGTTAATAATAGTTTTTATTGGCTGAAGTGTAAAATTGGATAAGTGTAGGTACATTATAGGTTTCTTGTTGTGAAATATACATTCATATTTAAGCAAAATGAAACTTTCTACAATAAATATAATACTTTAGTGGCATGGAGCAAAGCCAAAGATTCATACTATGTTACTATCTCAAAACATTGTTATGAGTTCATGGAAAATGTTACTAACTCATGATGCACTTTTATTTGTATTTACATTTTAGTATGACATCATGGCCAGATAAAGAATCAAAATTAGAAAATATTCCACATGCATTATTTTGGATGGGTTAAACAGTATGAGATTGGATTATTTAGTCCTACATTAGATTGGCATATTGTACTAATATAATAAAACGTAAACACACTTATGTAAGAAATAAGCGTTTACAGCATATTTTTAAATTATTATTTTATTAATAAGTAGCCCTACACTTAAAATGTACTTTATATTTTAATGCTATTTAGAAGTTGAATGTATTGTAAAAAAATGTTAATGTGTGAAATTGACTAAAATTAGTAACTAATAGTAGTAAAGAAGCAAGAATGCCATGGTAATGTTAATTGTTAGCCAATGGCAAGGCCTTCATTGTCATTTAAGCTTTAAAATTTTGACATTTCACAATTTAATGCAATGTGAATATTAAAATAAAGTTTGTTAAGAAATGCGCAATGTGTGTGTGTGTCAGGTGGACTGGCTGACGGAGTCGATGCACCAGCGCGACTTCACGGTGTCGGCGATGCACGGCGACATGGACCAGCGCGAGCGCGAGGTGATCATGCGCCAGTTCCGCACGGGCTCCTCGCGGGTGCTCATCACCACCGACCTGCTCGCGCGCGGCATCGACGTGCAGCAGGTCTCCTGCGTCATCAACTACGACCTGCCCACCAACCGCGAGAACTATATACACCGGTATACCACATTTGATCACTTCAAACACGTTACACTTTATTACACTTAAAAAAGAAGGAATATCGAATTTGATTAATAATTAAATTACAAAAAATCGGTAACACAAAAAAAAGAAAATCAAATGCAGACATTGTAACCAAGCATTGCAATGCGGAAGTTATAGGGCTTTTGTTCAGCTGTTTCTTTAGTACCCCCTCCACTGGAGGTTTACCCACGTAAAGATACTATCTTGTTTATATTTATGAAATGTGCAGTTAAATTAAAAGTTATATTTGGTTTTTGTTAGATTTTAAATTGCAAGATTAATTACGCGTATGTCATGTAAGGCGTGTGGTTATTCCAGGATCGGGCGCGGCGGCCGCTTCGGGCGCAAGGGCATCGCCATCAACTTCGTGACGGAGGCGGACAAGCGCGCGCTGAAGGACATCGAAGACTTCTACCACACGACCATCACTGAAATGCCCAACGACGTGGCCAACCTCATCTGAGGTGGCTGCGCATTCCGGTTTATACTTTGTGTCCTGCGTTCTATTGCGATATTTATACGGTGTGAGTATTAGGAGGGACCTCCTAAGTACCACTGTGCTGATTTTTTTTATTGGAACTCATTTAATTTGGACCGATATATCTGTTTTAGTTTAATTAATGAATACATTATACTATAGACGTATCATTATAAGTTTAATAAATATACGTAGGAGTAAGACCGGCTCGGCCGGATGGCCCCCGTTCCGCGTAGGCCCCTCTGCCGTTTGCAGAGAGGTCTCATCGGGTACTGGAGAGGCTATTTCAATCACAAAAGTACCAGAAGGAAATGTATTGTGTAATTCTTTTTTTTCCAGTTGTACATAATATGGTAACTGTTTTTGTAATACGGTAAATAAATAAAATTAAATATAACATTGCTGTATTGTTATTGACATACGCCATAGCACTCCACTCCCGATCGGAACCTTAATTCTCGTGCGCATTTAACTCAATTGTACAAATTTTGTTTACAGAAGACCTCCCCACTCAGCCTGTTGACACGCACTTTGGACACAACTATGTGGAAATAATAAATCAAAATTTCCTTAATAAGTCACTTTTTTTATAACACAGGTCCTTTTTGTTATCCTGTATCCCCAACCACTGCTTTTTGCATTTTATTGTTTTCTACATGGTTTTATGTTCATTTCGATTTATTTATATTTTTGAAATAAATTTTGTTCAAAGTATAATGAAGTTGGTAATTAAGGTTCCTAATTTTGCAGATTATGTAACGTTCAAAAGTGGAACTGTAGTAAGGAAAACATTTGTTAGTCGAAGCGATGGATCTCCACTTTGTTTCCAGAACAATGTTTCTCTATCTATATAGTCCTTAAATATAAGCTAAGTACCAGAAACTACTAGTATTGTTTAAACATTTATCAGCAATCATTCTATTGGTGTAAATGTGCTAACATTATTTATCTGAAATTCAATAAACTGCTACATTAGTTGCTAACAAGATTTATAATTTCCTATAGAAAATACCACTTCCTGTAGAGTATCTAACCAGCTTCAACTTCTTTAAAAAATGTCAATAAAGGGTTAATAAAAGACCAATCAAGAAGAATAATATATTTAGAATAACAATGAATAATAAATAGATCAACATATCTATTCAATTATCTACTTAACAATATCTAATTAATAAATTAATATCACATTTCTGGTAATATTCACCCGAATCAGTAAAGAATATGACCAAACTTTCAAGAAATATCATAAAAATGCAAAAAGGAGTATCAACAACAAAACTGACACTGGGAAAATAATGTATACTGAGGTACGAGGGTGACATACCGAAGTTAAAATAAATGATTTATCATTATTAAAGCCATCAGTCGTGGGAACTTCTACTATCACTAACTCATCACTAAAAATACTTATATCAAACTCACATTCAGTACTATTAAGACAAACCTTGGAGTCAGACATGTTTGCATATTGGAATGTTGGTTTATAAATATCAAATATTGCATGAATGTCATTATTCACCAAATCATTGTCACTATAAAATATATAGTAATAATACCCGTCAGATTGTATCTTATGTTCAACCTTTAATATAGTAGTATTTTCTAAATAGTTGGTGCTATTACATTCTTTAGAATATGGAAAGAAATTGTTCATGAGTATGTTATCATTGTAACACTCATGTAAATTGTTCTCGAAGCTTGATACTGAAGCATCTTCTGTTACATTTGGAACATTTGCATTGCCACCGTGATTAACTCCAGTGTCCAATATAGTATTTGGATTGTGTAATGGCATACTTGCGGCTGATCTTTTTTGTCTTTTATTGGTTTCTTTCTCAAAATTATCTTTAAAATCATCATGTTCATTTGATTGTTCTTCCATAGCATTTTCGTGTTGTGTATTCTCTGACAATTTTACACTATTAATCTTTTTTCCAGGATTTTCCAAAGTTACAGACACTTGACCTTGTTTATCAATTAATGATGGATCTTTCCTGTATTTACTACCATCTAATATACCACAGGTGTTTAGAATTTTATCTCCTTTCACTACTAATATTTTAGAACCTTCATACCTGGAACAGGCTTTCAGTTCAACAGTTGCTCCAGCAAAGAGAAAGAAACCCCAATATTCTAAAGTATCATCGGGCATTGACATTGATTTTCTTAATTTAATATGTCTTGTCTTATTAGATAGTTCAGGTCTGCCTTTCATTTGGAATGCATTAAATGTGTTGTTCATTTTCAAGGAATGTTTTTCACAGAAAATTGAAGATTGTCCTTTATGGATTTGTATAACATCTGAATCTGATATTTTGTACATAACATCAGCATATCTAATATTCCTGAGATACAATGATGATACTATTAAAGTTGTAGGTAGGATTGTAGTCAGAAGGCAGAACATAATTACCCGCTGAGATCCATGCATTTTTGCCCCATCTAAAACACATTTTTTGTTAGTTGAATGTGCACAAATTTTAAGCCTAATGTGTGTTAGTCATAAGTAGAAATTAAATAAGCTGCAGGAATTCTGAAAAAACTACAAAGAAATATTAATTAGAGAATCTAGAAAGGTAAAGAAGACAAATATGCATGGATTTTATATTATCAGTTTTACAAAAATTGCAACATTATCTAATTAACCTGTAAACACATTTGTCATATAAATAGCTCAATTTATAAAACAAGGGTTGCAGTAAATTGCCTATAATGCTCATATTACTTCTTGTAACATTCAATCAAAAAACAATACTAGCTAATATCAATCATGTTCAAAGATAATGATACTGTTTTCTAGAGCTGTGCAGTGATGGGAAGATAAATCAAGCAATGAAGGGCCATACAAGTTATCTAAATCTTAATAAAAAAAATAAAAAAAACCTACTTAGGAACTAAAATGGTGCATGTGCATAAATAAATAAAAACATATCTGATTTTGCATAATAGCATTTATTAAGATTATAAACATATTATGAGAGAGAGCTAACCACATAAAAATATGGTTTGCATTATTAGTGTATTATTATTTTCAATAATTCTCAGGAGATTCGCCCATGAAATGTTCTCTTCGCGAAGTTACCTAGCCCTTTTTTTCTTTTGCATGGGACAAGCTTTCTCAGCTATAAAAAGGACAGAACTTAGAACCTGTGAAAAACGAGCATGAACTAAAATACATACTTATTTCTCTTATACAAACAATAATTATTCAAAATATGAAAATCAGAAATAAGTAGTTAAGCAATTCTACTTTCGTTTTTGATATAATATTTTTACTTTACAAGCTAAAGAAATTATTTGCTAATCAAATTATTAAAAAGCTATCTGCGATCATAAATATAACTGTAATACCTGCTTATTTCTACGATGAAGGTGAAATTGTTGTTTTCATTATTTGTAAAACTAATCGATCAATAACAAACAGGTGTTTGGGTTGGGACGAGATTTTTTTCGCGAAAAACGTATTGAGTATTGCCATTAAGGAATGTCAGTGTCAAATTGTATTTGCGTTTCCATTTTCACCTCACGAATTCAAGATCAAATATTATTTTATTTTGTTATATTGCGATTTATAAGTATGTATTAACAATGTTTCATCTAGTTAAAACACGGATTAGAATTTAATTCTGTTAATGAAGCCGGAGAATTTTTTAAACCAACTTTTTGAATTCCTGAGATTTCATAATGTTCGCTAGCGAATGTTTTTATTAAAGCACTGTTTCTTAAACGCGTAATAACCATAAAAAACCTCGACATTTAAACGTACACACATTTGCATATCAAATTAACACAAAAATATTACTGGTCATAACGGCTACGTAATGCGATGGTATTGTGATTTTTCGACTAAACTTAAATATAACATCCTAAATATTTTGAAGCTATCTAAAGATGTGGATGATTTATAAAAACTACTTACTAACAGTTCCTACAGTGAAATATTTTTTTTAATAAAAGAGATTGTTATCGGAGACAACTGCCTGTCTTTAAAAACGTAAAAACTTAAAATATTGATCTCGTGATGTACAAGATAAGAGATAACGTCTTATCTACAACAATGTATGCAACATTTACAATTAATTTACTAATCTACTTTATCTTGTAATATTTGCAGCATGCTTGCAATTTCTTTTTATGATAATATTAATAAACTGTATAATGAGTCAAATACTAGGTAAAAAAGTGAACGAGTGATTAATTTGCAGCAATACACAGGTATTTACATTCGCCGTATTTGCTTTTAGTTGCTAAATAATAAACATTTGCCGCGATAAACATTTATCATATCAGAAAACATCTCAAAGAATTTTTAATGCATATAAATGATAATTAAAAATTGCAGAACAGAACACCTAGAGATGGACGGTCACCATTACCAGACTAATATCGTAATAATAAGACTTGCTGTACCACGCGACTACGTTTGCGGAGATTTTAAAAACTTAATTAGAAGCCTATAGTTCTTCCACATTATGGTATATGTATATAACAAATTCCATCGACATATCTTGAGCCTTTCTGGAGATACCTTCTAACTAGTAAGAAGCTAAGTAGTATGACTTGAAAATTTTGTTGTGTAAATCTTCTAGTAACTTTATAATACCAATGTTTACAATTCTACAAAACGTGTATTTAAAACTAGGTCCGTTAACATAAGTTTTCTAAGGAAATGCCCTGTGTAGTTATTTTTCTGATGAAAATTAGATTCGCTATCCGCTGTGATTAAAGATCCGGTATTATTACCATCTCAATACTTGACATCTCCTTAATGTTTTAGGATTTCGGGAATATGTAAGTAGAAATAACTTCGCTACACTATTTACGCTATTTCTAAGAATATTGTAAACTGAAAATCCAATACTCGTTGATTAATGATCGTAGTATTAATTCCGAAGGAGAGTCTACAAGCTCAAAGTCCAAGAAATGGCCAAAAAATTGGATCGTATGAAATCGAACCCGAACCAACAGAGCGTGAAAAACCGTTACGTTAAAACAAAACTATCAGCAAAAGTTGTCTGAAATTCTGTAGTTTGAAAATCAGAGTGAAAAGAAAGCTTAAACATTGTATCGGCATATTAAAAGCATAATAAAAATCTGCTTTTTGTAAAAATATGCTTAAAGTATATGATGTGATGTGCAAGTGAATTATAAATAGAACGTAGCAGACATAATGAATACATTAAAAATAATGTAACAAAACAGCACATTTATTATCATCTTAAAATGTAACACTTGCGTTATCATAATTTTTTTTTTTGTTTATAGAGTCGCATTTTTTTATTACTCACCATTTTGATCCTTAAATTGTACTGAAATATATTGATAATTAGCATTATGGTAACTTAACACCGACCTTTGACACTTTTGATTCATTTTTACATTTATTCTATGTCATTAAAATGTAAGTAATAACGAATTGATTTGATACAAATAACAAGTTGTCTCGTTCCGCGCACAACACGAAATGGACAAAAGATTTTGATAAGCTTATCGTGTATCGCTTATTACATGTAGCATTTGTTAAATGTTGGATATGATGTGACGTTATATAAATACGACTATCATGAATGGTAAATTGAAAATGTTCCCAACTGTCAACTACATTTTACATATTTGCCCTTATACACATACATACAACTTATGTGTAAATATGTTGTGGTTGAGACTCTGTCTATTACATCCGGCTATTTTCCTAGACAGTTGTTACCCAGATTTCCTGTTGTTACCATTCCAAATCCGGACTTGGACTTGAGTACTGTCGAAGGGAGCGGAGGTCGCTCATTTTCTGATGTCGTTCTTTATCTGAATATCGTATTCTTAAGTTATGCCCTATTAGTTGTGGCCCACATGCTAAGAATATAAAGTTCCTTGTCTGATTGCGTGGGGGAGCTTCAATAGTCTTCTTTACTACATGACTCTTTAATGTGTGCATATAAATTAGTTGCATTTTTTCCGCGATGTGGGTTCCTATATTTATTTTCTACTACTTATTACTATTATTACCTTTAAATTAAACATAAACTTAAGTCTTATAATGTGAACGAGATGAAAGATGAACCAGCCATAATGTGCGGTTCACCCATGGCCAGTAAAGTCGGTAGGTAGCTCTCCATGACTGGATTGTCTATCAACTAGCATAGTGTTAATGGGAATGTTAACTGGTACCAGTAAGCATTTTAGTCCGGTGTCTCGGAATTGTTCTATTTTTTTGGACAGACTGAGGCCCAGCTTTAGTCCCTTTTTCTTCCCACACTTTTTCATATTAGAAGAGGATGGAAAGGGAATGTGGATTTGACGGTGGGGGAGACGCCTATATAAGGGAAATGTCCTCTGTATGTGCGTCTCCGCCTCCGATAAAGGATAGGCAACGCATCTGCAATTGCGGATGTCTATAGGCAGCGGTCGCTTCGCCAGTTTGGTGGATTCAGGTGGCTGCTTGCTCGTTTGCCACCAGTGCGGACGAACAAACTCAACAGGTATATATTTTATACAAATGTATTCTGCAAGACCGTCATAACTGTGGCGTAAATTAAAAAAAGCACTCCCATACCGGATTGCGTATGCAGCTGGAAAAAGCTACATTGATAGAATGGCAACTAAAAACGTTGTTTTGGGATTGTGAACTTAATACTTGTTACAAATAATAATTTTATTTGCATCAGGAACCTATTGCTACTGTCTTGACGCCTCCAAGGTTATTTGTAAAGGATAACAGACAGGCATAATGTTGCTCACGTTATAACAACAATACATAGTCCCTACCATGCCATTGCTACTGTCTAACTGTACTGGCCAGGTGTGAACCGCGCATGAAATCCATGTGTCAATGTTTAAATTGTCAATGTCAAATGACTCAACATCAAAACAAAACCAAATAAAACATCATTTTACTTTTACTTTTAGATATCTAGTAAAAATATTCTGATTATTATCATTGTGAAGTAGAAAAATGAATAATATTCTACGACCTGAAGTAATATGGATTGAGGGACGATGTTACAGAATAAACGATCCGAATACGGAAATTTCAGCTCTTCAAGAACATGATTTATACGAGAATGGTTAACATTTTAGTTGTTCTGTAAAACATTCTATATTACTTGTTTTTCTATGTAATAAAAGCATAATTGAATACTACACCAAGTATCTATTTTATTTTTTTTTCTTGTACAAGTTATGTGCAATGAATTTTAAAATAGGTCATTGTCTGAATTTTGCTAATTTACAGCTTATTTTTCAGAAATAACGTTCCAAGATGCGGGTGATGATGATTCAGATGATGATTTCGAAATAACTAAAATAGACAGTAATAGATTTGCTACAAGCCTTCATGTATCAAAGTAAGTGATTTAACAGCGGTAGAGCTCGCTTTAACATCTTCGCACGATTGGACAGGTTTCGCGTAGTGGAATACCACAATTACACAGAAGACAGGCGTGAAGTGGGAGCAATTCTGCCTTTCCTCTGATGAGTGTGATGCTGGAGGCTTAAATTTGGTCACTTTTTTGTCCCCACTTTTCTTAAGAGGAAAGGATGGGAAGGAAAAGTGGATTTGACGATGGAGAAGACACATAGGAAGAAGAAATATCATCTTTATTTTTTACTCCTCGATCAATTAAGGATAGGCAACGCATCTGCAAATGCTGATGTCTATGGTTAGTGGTTGCTATGCCATTTTGATGGACTCAGATGGCCACTTGCATGTTTGCCACCTTACAGTATAAAAAAGAAAGTACATTTGAGTATAGATGAATTTAATAGGTAATTGAGTTAAAAGATCAGTGATTGACTAAATAAATTGTTTGTAGGCATTACATTGGATCAATTATTGGAAAAAAGGGAATAATGAAAAGCAGAATTGAGAGAGATACTCGAACAAATATAAAAATACCAAAACAAGGAGAAGCTGGTGATATCACAATACTTGGTCCGAGTGTTACTGTGAGTAAATTCCTAAGATATAACCACACAAAATAAGTAATTATTTTACTCGGTAAAAACTTGGTGTGCCTTAAATTATAGTGACTTAATACATATTAAATAAAGTAACAGATAGACGCGACGCATTTCAGATTACAAGCAACAAGATTTATGAAGTAATAAAATGACATTTTTAATTTTATTATATTATAATATATTTTGCAACTTTTTACAGAATGTAAAAGCGGCTCGTAGAAGAATCAATATAATAGTTATGTCATCAAGAATGAAACAGAGACCTACTCATTTTATATCGATTCCTTTTAACAATCCAATTGTAATGAATAATTTTGAAATATTCAAGGTAAAAGGGAGTACATAAATGTTCTGATTAGATAAGTCATTAAAATATTGATTTTGTTTATGTTTTTTGGATATATTTAGTATTATTATATAAATTGAGCATAAGCATATATTTGAATGGTTTATAATTTATGTTTTCAGCAAACTGTATTGCAAGAAGTAAAAGGTATAGATGAATCATTATTTATAAGGGCAAACAAACTACATATCACCATTGGTGTGATGTGTTTGATGGACAATGAAGAAAGGTTACAAGCTTCTAAGCTATTCAGTGAAGCAAAAGATAATATAATAATGTGAGTACTAAAGTATGTAATCAATCCATGTATAATTTTACACAAAAATATCAATTAAAAATATGTATAAGTAGTTTCCTCCCGCGACTCTATCCGCACGGAGTAAAAAAAAAAGAAAGTAGCCTATGTGTTTCTCCCGACTATTCTCTACATCTATGCCTTTCATTGTATCCCTTGAATTGTTTAGCAATTTAGGTAACAAACTAATAAACATCCATACGAACTTTCGCGTTTATTTAGATGGTTAAATTACTACAAATGGGTGACTAGTGTAGATAAGTTTTGTAATAAAGATTACATTTTCAGGCCTTTACTTCAAGATAACTTACCTCTACGTATAAGATTGAAAGGTTTGTCATACATGAATGATAATCCAAAAAATATAGATGTATTGTATGGAAATGTTGAAGATGAAGCCGGCACTGACATCCTTCAGACAATAGCTGATGATTTAGTTAATTATTTTTATAAAGCAGGTAACTATAAATATAATAATTTAATTAACAATTTATTTTGAAGGTCACCTTCTTAAATGTTGCAGAGAGAAATCTTGGGTTAATATTTTAAGACGGATTTCTTTTGTTAACCACTTTCTACTATTGTAGTTTGGTTTGGCAAGTTTGAAATTAATGTACGTCTGCTTTTTTAAGGATTTATGAACAACAATGATTATGGTAGAGACAAGGTTAAACTGCATGTTACTTTATTAAATTCAAAATATAGAAGCGAATCAAAGAGTGAAGAGTCCCACGGAAGGAAAGTTAGAGAAAAATTCGATGGTTCTGAAATACTGAATAAATTTGCTGATTATGATTTTGGAGTAACAGAAATAACTGAATTTCATCTTTCCCAAAGAAAGACAATGGGTCCTGATGGATATTATCAACCAACGTTTGTTATTTCTCTAAATAAAAATTAATTGTTATTTATTGTGTTTATTTTCTACTTGTTTACAATTCCTATATATTTTTACAACTACAATATGTATTGTTTAGAGAAAATTGAAAAAAAGAATCTTTCCTTTTATTTAAAAAAATGAAATGAAGACTTGAATTCATTAATAGAATTATATAAGCAATATTGAATCTAAAAACTGAAATCTGTTAAATAAAACAATGCTTGTATTAATTTGCTTGTATAATTTATGCATTCATTCTCAAACAGAGCTAATAATTTTAAATAAAAATGCAATTATTCAACGTCCTCTTTACCGTCAAATAACGTTTTAAAATTCAACGCGAGTTTCATCAAGCTAAAAGTTAACGAGCGTCATCCGAATTAACTCGTTACAACTCTAACGTTTATATGACAGTTTATAGTTTTAGTAAAACGTTCACTGACTTTCTAAAAAAAAAAACAAATGCACCTTTAAACAGTTTTACCTTTGTTGAAGTTAAATATGCAATTAGGTAAAAACCCAGATTGTCTGTGAAATTAACTTTCGTCCGCGACTTCGTCCACTGAAAATAAAAAAAAAAACTCGGTCTGACTGATCGTTATTACAATATAAAGTTACCTATATTAAATAACACATATTGACAAAGACAATAATGCTATACATTCTTTTGTCATCGGTTTAATTTAATTGAAAACCTAAAAAAAAAGCATCTCCACCCTTTTAGTAGGAGTAGACTCTAGCGTATTCATAAAACCTACTGCCGATATGTAAAAACGCATTACTCAAACGTTTTAACCTTGTTCGTATTGTAGCCGAAAATAGACCTCTTCAGGTTTGTTTGGATTATTTATTTATGCTTAAAGCGCGGAAAACTCAGTGGCGGTGTAGTGAAAGCTCACAGTCAGTAAAAGTATAAAAAAAACTTTGTAGATTTAACCAAAAAAAGTTCTCTACATTGCCGCGTTTTCTGATAAGGAATATTTTAGGTTCATTAGGATTGTAATCTGGCAGTTAGTATAAAAGGATCCGTTTATCTGTCGGCGTAAAACAGCCGGCAAGTGCGGAGCATTACGGGAGCTCTAGACATTGAGCTTATTTCAGTTTCCGTCCGAATGATTTTATCGGCGGGCTTCCTAGCCGCGAATAGAAGGGCTCGCCGTGGAGTTACGAAAACGTATTTCGTCAATACGAATTCTTAAATTCTTGATAAATATCTTAATTGAAATAATGAGAGTAACTTTAACTCTGACAATACGGAATAGGTAAAACAAAATAGATTTTTTCTTATGAAAAGTTTTATTTGAAGAAATTTAATTAGTTCTAGTTTACGAGTAAAGAATAATAAAATATAAAATCTTGTTTTTAAAACAACTCTAAAAAAACTTCTTACCTTAAACCTACATGTGTAAGTATGAGTGTGTAAATGAAAAATACAACGTGAGTATGAAATTAAATAGAATTTGTTTTATACGAAAAGTGCTACGAACCTCTACAATATTTCGTAGCTGCGAGTTACGCCGGCTCGCACCGTGTTCGGGAGGGGTGGCCTGAGTCAGTACAGACGCATTGCCTACGCTATGCGCCCGTCTTCCGCGTACCTTACATACCAACGTACACACAATATCGTATTTCAACAGTCTCGTTAAATTTATTTCTGTGAAATAAAGTGATATCAAGGTAAGTTAGATATTATTTGATCACTGGTAATTTCATTCTTTAGTAAATTCTGATAGATCGCAATTCAATTTTGATCGTAAATCGTAAACCAAAACTAGTTAATTAATTACGAGTCTAAAGCTGTAATTTTTTACTGTGATTTGAAAGTGTAAACGTAAATATTTATAAAACAGATTTTAAGGTAAAATAAAGCTTACTGTAATCATAAGATTTTATTTACGAGGTACTCTCGGGCGAAGCTTGGATCGTAAAACATTAAAATAAATCGGAGGGCCTCGTCCCCTTTACGGCCTGTAATATTTGCCTCCCAAGACGCCGCGTCTGCCGTTAACCGCGTAGACGTATTATAATATTGTGTAATTGGTTTATGTGCCATAAAGGCAAAGTACTCTGAAATGTGAAGTATCCTAACGGAAAACTTTGCTTTGTTTTTATATAATGTTTTTTTACATGATTGTTATAAAAGAAAAGTATTTTTATCTATACTATAAATTCTATAGTTATTATTATAACTACTTATATAGGTAGGTACACGTACAATTGTTTATAGAGATGAATATAAATTCACATTCATTTAATTCTATGTAGAAATTATATTGTACTAGCTTTCACCCGCGACTCCGTCTGCGTGAAATAAAAAAAATACAAAAGTGAGTAGCCTATGGGTTCTTCCACATTATCCTCTACATCTGTACTAAATTTCATCGAAATCCGTTCAGCCGTTTAGGCTACAAACTCTAACAAACATCCAACCATCTAAACTTTCGCCTTTAAAATATTAGTATGATGTAAATATCCAAAGTCGAAAAAACCCAAAGGGACTTTGTTACGTACCAATTTGTTTTATTCATTAAATGTATTTAAGCGTTCATTATTTTTCACTTCCTTCCCTTTTTCACACAACTCACCAACCTATGATAATTTTGTGTACGAATATTAATAAATGATATTTAATTTTTTAGGCTCGCATTACCATATACATAATACATTATGTAAAAAAGATATAAATTACCTAAGTTTATTTCCCAAAAACTTGAGACTTTAAAGACTTTGGTACTTACATACCTATTTGTGTTTTAACAATATTTCCTGCTCCCTGTTGTTTTCAAAGCGGATGTATGAAGTAACGAGATACAAGTATTTTGTAACTTACGATCAAAGCTTTTAGTGTTCCTGACGAAACGATATGTTGCACGCAGGTAGTAACTGGGTTAATGTTTTCAATACATTCACTCATATATCATATCAAGCGACTGATACCCATTTTGTGTAAACTTTGGTATTCACTGACAACATACGTACAAAAATGTTTATTTTGAAAATCATGTATTTGGTAATAGTAGATTTGGATTAACATTATTTGGATACAGAAAAAAAGATGCAATTTCACTAGTTTTGACGTCTACATTATTTACGTATTTAACTAGAACTACTTAATGTTTACTTTACGCGTGTGATATAATAGAAATAAGGAAATAAGGTTACATACATTGCCAGTTGATTGGAAAAATCCGTTGGGAAATTATCAAACTCGGTTACGACGATATCTCAGCGACGACACGAGCATACACTTGTTCCTACAACTCGATAAAAGTTTTAAGAACTCGCGTAAATCTTTGCACTGTCTTGATCTTCGTTTGAAAATTTTCTTTTATACACATATGACCTCTGAAACTTTCGTTCGGTGTTTGATCGTACAGATTCTGTAGACTAAATCACTCACACTGATAAATTAATAAAAAAGATGAAATATTTAAAATGATAACTATATATTTGTATTCATTTGTTTTGGGAAGTGAAAACTAACGGTTGCTAGTGATGCTCTCATTGAAAATTAATACAAAGTAGTTGGGGTTCGGTTCTGTAAGTGAGTTATTGGCCCACTTACTGCCTCTAATAGGCCTATAATGGAATAGTGGTATGTAGAGGGAACGCAAAGGTTCCCCATTCTTCTTCATTATCTGATAACAAAACCCTATCGACTTAATGCATATGGGGCTGTAAGTACTGGTACTCTAACCTTTTTTTCAATGCATTGTGTTGTTACTCAAAGTCACTCAATGATTTTCAGTGGTCCCTTAGTGTAGATTTCTCATACTAAGTCACTATTAATTGCTGACAGTGAACTTTAATACATTGTCGAAACTATTATCTTACTTTAATTATAAATATATCACCGTAGGTATTTTAAGCTATTCGAACGCTACTAAAAATAAATCAAGTTACAGCCAGATAGCCGAGATTTAAAGGTTCATTTGATTAATTAAAACGATTGCTTTTAAAGTGAGATTGGTTGCGCTGCATTTATTTTCATGGTTTTAGCTACTTTATTCAAAAGTATTATGCTATTAGTGAATTAAATATTTAACTGACTCCCAATGGGCCTTCACCTCCGCCCACAGAAGTCTTCATTTTACTCGATCCCGTGTCCTGACCCAGTCGCGAACTGAAACATGCTATGATCTTGTGCCCCCTCTTGTGTTCCGAGGGGGCCATCATCGTTGGGTGATGGGAGGGGTTTAATATCTGACCCCTCCCTACACGTGTTGAGCCCCTACCAAGGGGCTCCCCCTAGCCGGGTCGTGGATAAACTAACGTAGATGCCACACGGCCCGGTTGGGCGAAGGAGAACACCGCGGTGTTTAGTGGGTAGTCCGGTCGAAATTTATAAAGCCGGGAGTCCCTGTGCGTAAATGCATTACCCCCGACAACAAAAAATGCTATGGTCTTTTTCTACTTCATCAATGGGGAGATTTCTTAGACGCGCCTGCGACTGGGCTGTCCCAAGTATGCGCGTTTAACACTCCGAACCATTCATCCTTTCTACGTGGTTGCGCCAGTGGTGTTGAAAATTTTAAAATAATATTAGTAGCCAGTTTTCATTGCGATATTGTGAAACATTAATTCATTAAATTTAACATGTATGAACTGTGCCTTCTCCATTTTCCACTCGTCCCTGTCTATTAATTCCAATAAGAACATCTTCCGATTCAGTGACGCATGCTAAATGTGTCGGAACGCTCTCAATCGATCCACTCGTCTGGAGAAATTCTAGGAAACAGTTGTGTTCGTAATGTGAAAACTTTTATTGTATTCGTCTCGGATTTGTCTATGATTTACTGTCGACTTGAAACTTAATGGTAGATCCATTAGTGGCGTCAACTAGACTAGAATATAATCAAACTTTAAATTTTGTTAAAATGGGTAAATAAGTAATGCGTTATTTACAAAAGGATGTATTATGAAAACAAGATTTCGTAAGACATTTGAGGTGCATTTTAGTTGACATATGTTGACATGACATGACATGACAAAAAAAAATAAATGTTCCAAATTTTGCGTTTCCAAAA